GCCCGCAATCCGGGCCTGGGCCCCGACCGGGAATCCAACCGTGACCTCCTGGTTCCTAGGTTGACGCTCAACCCCTGAGCCACGCCGGCCGGGTGGGCATACTCCTAGCTCCTTCCCTGGGGTCCCTGCCTGGCTCGGGGGTGGGGTAGGCAGACGCCGCATGGGGCCAGGCCAGCCTGAAGGACACCTCCCGCCTCTGTCTGTGCAGGAAGGACCTGTGTACCAACAAGGACCAGCCCTGTGAGACCCTGGGCCTGGCCCACGTCGGGGGCATATGCCAGCCCCACCTGAGCTGCAGTATCAGCGAGGACTCCGGCCTGCCCATGGCCTTCACCGTGGCCCACGAGCTCGGGCACAGGTACCCCGCAGCCCCCACTGCCACCTCCCACCTGGGGGCCCCCCCGGGCAGCCCAGCCCACGGGCCTCCGCATCCCAGGGAAGGTCCCCGCGTGTCCCCGTCCACGTCCACAGCCAGGTCGCTTCCCTGTGAAACAGCAGAGAGGCCCTCGGGGGACCTCGGCCCGGCCTGGAGCAGGGCTTGTTTGAGGGGTTGGGACAGACCAGACGTCCCCAGGGGGCAATGCCTCAGGACTTGCATTTTTAAAAATATATATATATTTTATTGATTTTTTACAGAGAGGAAGGGAGAGGGATAGAGAGTTAGAAACATCGATGAGAGAGAAACATCGATCAGCTGCCTCCTGCACACCCCCTACTGGGGATGTGCCCGCAACCAAGGTACATGCCCTTGACTGGAATCGAACCCGGGACCCTCCAGTCCACAGGCCGGCGCTCTATCCACTGAGCCACACCGGTCAGGGCAGGACTTGCATTTTTGACTCTTCAGTGCCTCCAGCAGGTAAACCCCTGTTGCTGATTGCTCCGCGGCCCTGGGCAGGTTCCCTGTTCGGAGCCACTGCGCGCTCCCTGGGGATGGAGACACGTGATGTCCGCATGGGGCCTGTGTCTAACCGTGGCCTGTGCCCTCAGCTGCCCCCCCTCAGCCCTCCCCCCATGCCGGGCTGCTTAGCTGGTCCCTGTGGCAGCATTTTATTTTAATTTTTTATTTTGAAACTAGAGGCCCGATGCACGAAATTCGTGCAAGAGTAGGCCCTCCTTCCCCCGGCTGCCGGCACCGGCTTCCCTCTGGCACCCGGGACCTGGGCTTCCTTTGCAGCCCCGGGCTTCGTCCGGAAGGTCGTCTGGAAGGACATCCGTAAGGACGTCCGGTCTAATTAGCATATTACGCTTTTATTCTTATAGATATATTTTTATTGATTTCAGAGAGGAAAGGGAGGGAGAGAGAGCTAGAAATATATATATATAAAAGCCTAATATGCTAAGTGTCCAACCGCAGCCGCTCGACCAGTCGCTATGACACGCACTGACCACCAGGGGGCAGACGCTCCGACTGGTAGGTTAGCTTGCTGCTGGGGTCCGGCCAATCAGGACAGGGCAAGACGGGCCGGACACGCCCTGGAGCCAACCTCCTGCGGTCCCTCCCCGGCCTCTAAAATATGTCTTCTAATTAATTTCCTTTCAACGTGCACGAATTCGTGCACCGGGCCTCTAGGCAACGCTGAGAGAGAATCATGGATCGGCTGCCTCCTGCACGCCCCCTACTGGGGATGGAGCCCGCGATCTGGGTATGTGCCCTGACCGGGAATCGAACCCTGACCTCCTGGTTCATAGGTTGATGCTCAGAGAGGGGCAGTGACTTCCCTAAGGCCACACAGCCGTTGGGGGGCCGGAGCCAGCCCTGGGACCAGGATCGGCGCACGACGGGGTCGGCAACGAGTGCGACACGCAGGGGAGACAGCCCTTCATCATGTCGCCGCAGCTGTTCTACCACTCGCTGCCCCTCAACTGGTCCCAGTGCAGCCGCGAGTACATCACCCGCTTCCTCGAGTAAGCACCCCCTCCCTCCCCAGGGCGGGGCCCGGGACCCCGAGGTCGGGGTCTGAGCAGGAGACGGGGACCGTGGTACCGAGGTGCCAGGCAGAGGGACCCGCAGGGGCGGTGGCTTTGGACAGGGAGGGGCCTGTACCCTCCTAGTGTCACCAGGCAACCGAGGGGCCGGGCCGCCTGTCCCTCCCTGAGCCGATGCGGCCGAGACCGGCTGGCATCGTCTGTGAGCGTTGATGCCAATCCCGCCGGCAGCGTGGGGAGCAGCAGGTCACCCACAAACATCTGCTCTGCCCCCCACCAGAGGCGGCTGCTTACACTGGGGAGAAGGACAGAGATGACATGGGAAGGAGGCAAAGGGTGGGCCAGATGGCAATGCACAGGCAATGCGGGCTGGGGGTCTGCAAAGGCCTGGGGGTATGCAAAGGCTGGGGGGCTGCAGAGGCCTGTGGGTAGGCAAAGGCTGGGGGTATGCAAAGGCTGGGGGGCTGCAGAGGCCTGTGGGTAGGCAAAGGCTGGGGGTATGCAAAGGCTGGGGGGCTGCAGAGGCCTGTGGGTAGGCAAAGGCTGGGGGTATGCAAAGGCTGGGGGGCTGCAGAGGCCTGTGGGTAGGCAAAGGCTGGGGGTATGCAAAGGCTGGGGGGCTGCAGAGGCCTGTGGGTAGGCAAAGGCTGGGGGTATGCAAAGGCTGGGGGGCTGCAGAGGCCTGTGGGTAGGCAAAGGCTGGGGGTATGCAAAGGCTGGGGGGCTGCAGAGGCCTGTGGGTAGGCAAAGGCTGGGGGTATGCAAAGGCTGGGGGGCTGCAGAGGCCTGTGGGTAGGCAAAGGCTGGGGGTATGCAAAGGCTGGGGGGCTGCAGAGGCCTGTGG